GTTTCTATTTTCGTGGAGAATATTCTGTAGGGATTGAGAGCTGAAGATTATATCTGATTAAAGAGTCCAAGCCCAACTGCAGATGCCTATATAAGGAGTCATCCAAGACCTAGTTTTTAAGCATAGTTTTATTGTAAAAACTTGTGAAAATAAGGGTTTAGGGTTTGATAGTCCTTAGGTTCTCTGTGTTTTTTTTATTGTATGTTCTCGTGTATCTCTGATACATTTGAGTTGATTGATTGTTACTTGCTTGTCAAGTTATTATTCTCACTCAAAGCCGTAGGCACGAGTTGAGTATTATTCTTAGTGAAGCTTTTAAGCAAACTAAGTATTTGTAATTTGGAAGTGTGTTCTTCCTTTTTGGTTTCTTGAGACATTCTCTGGGACTGGGGTTGTTTGATATCACTGCGGTGATTGGAAGTGAGCGGGTTCTTATATCTAGGAGATGCCTAGATACAAGTTGCATTGAGTAAGGATTAAATGAAAGGTTGTAAACAGGGAAGTTTAGCTTCGAATTAATACTGCTGATAGTGGATTTCCTTCCTGGCTTTGTAGCCCCCATAGTAGGTGAGTTTGCACTGAACTGGGTTAACAATTTTATGTGTTCCTTTACTTTCTTTAAGTTATAATTCTGCATTGTTGTTATTGTTTAGTGTTCTGTCAGCAGATGTCATAAAATCTATTGTGACATTGCGTGTTGTTAAGACATCAGTCTTGAATTTTGATATTGTGTGTGCTAGAATTTCATGGTTCCATATAAAACATTAAATAGCAGGAGCTTAGAATAGAACCTCAAATCTTGGGCATATATTTATGTCAGTTTTATAAATATTCGAGGTAACAGATTTATTATTTTTTTTTAAATAAAACAATACGCTTCGTTCACATGTACCCGCAATTTTGTTTTCTACATTGTAAAATATTCGTCACGAAAAGCGTTATTTGTTTTAGTGAATCTCCCCCCTTTTTTATGATGACAAACTCCTCGAATTTGTGTGTTGATAAGATTGTAAAGTCTTCCCTGAAGTTATGTGTCTCCCCCTTAATTGATGAATCTTGTAATGATATATTCAAACCCTTGATGTCATTCTTCCAGTGCTTGTTTTAATCCATACAAAGATTTGACAAGCTTCCATACCTTTTGTTCATTATCAGGAAGCATATAACATTATGGTCATCCATGTAAATCTTCTCATCGAGATCTCTATTTAGGAATGTAATTTTGACATCCATTTGATGAACAATAAGATTATGCAAAGAAACTAATGCGTACAATACTTGTAATTGTTGTCCTTGCTAGTGGTGCACATGTGTTGAAATAATCAACACATTCTTTTTGTCAAAATACCCTTGGCTACTAATCTATCCTTGTAGGTATTTGGTGTATCATCATTATGATAGTTCCTTCTAAGCATCATGTTGCATCCAATGAGTTCTTATCCTTTAGATAGATTGACAAATTTCAAAGTGGGGTTTGACATTATTGAATTCACTTCGTCCTGGATAATGTCATTCCCAGAGAAGTCCCTTGAAATTACTTCTTCATTGTAAATCTTAGGATCATCATCCACTTAAAGAATAATAGGAATCTTACAAACAAAATTCTCACTATTTTCTTCTACTAGATAAAAAATGTTTACAATCGATTTTATTCGGTCTTAGATCCATAGCGTTTCAGACTTTTGCTTATTCTAAGTTCAAGTTGTGTTTTCAACAATCATTGGCTAACTTTAGACTTGTGTTTCAAGAATCCTCAAAGAATCTTCTTTACGAAGTTCTTCATTTATAGGAATCTTGAATTCCATATCCTCTATAATAAAGTTTTTAAAATTCCACATCACATGATTTAATAGTTACGTTGGACTCCAAATTCAAAAGTCTATATTATTTTATTAGGTGCATAGCCTACAAAAGAACATTTGAAGAATATCTCATATTCTTATAATAATATCTCATTAAATATATACATGTTATTTTCATATTTCAAATGCAAATAAATAATTTATAGTTTATATATACTATTCTTTAGTGAGAGTAATATCTTTCCCTCTCGATATATATATATATATATATATATATATATATATATATATATATATATATATATATATATATATATATATATATATATATATATATATATATATATATATATATATATATATATATATATATATATATATATATATATATATATATATATATATATATATATATATATATATAATTTGAAGTTTACGTGGCCATGTCAAGTTTTAGTGCAATGGAAATTTTGAAATAATTTTGAAAAAGGTTGTGGTGTTTCCAGTGATATATATAGGACCATATATAAAACAGAGTTCTTAGCCGTCATTATAATTGGCTGCTTCTATGTTAAAAAATTTTGTTTTTTATTCTTGACATGGAAATCTCGATTGTCATTATTTATAAGATTATTAAAAAAAATAATTTGACTCAAATGGATCAAAACTATAATCGTAGTGAAATCACTTTTCTTATAAGTATTTTAAACACTCTCAAAATGTCTTAGAGTTGGAACACAAGAATACTCATAATAATTCAACTTTTGAATCGAGTCTGCACAAGACGAGTGAATAACTCGAATTTAAGGAAGTGTGTCTAGAATATCGAAGAGGATGTAAGATTTTGAGTGAATGATTTTTTAATTCAAAATTATATATTTATAAGTCATGCATGCGTTGATTCATAAGTTTGCAACTCTTCACGAAACAATATATTTTCAACATATGTTTGCAATAGTCAACCTATAATAATACAATGCACTATTTCATGAAGTGTTTTATATTTTGAGTTTGAAATTCAAACTTTCAGTAATCCGAGACAAATTTAATGACAACAACTGACCAAAATTTCGGTTGGACAGATTTCACTGGTGGATGTTTAGTACAAAAACTGATCAAAATTTTCTTTAAACAAATTTGAAGGCAATTTCGACTTTTATCTATGGGAAATTTTATCCTCTTTAACTTTGTCATATTTAAACATACTCATGGGTAGACATGTATATGATTGGTTATTTTTAAAAACCAAATCATAACCATTTTCAAACCATTTAAATGCTTTGAATTTATTACCATAACCACATTTTAATCAAAATTGATTATACGACTAGTTATAAATTTAGTTATGATTAACTAACTGTTTTTTTTTAAAAAAAATCAATTTTTAAAAAATTATTTTATAATTTTTTTTCAAAATAAAAAAATTCCGAAATTTAAAAAATATATATTTTTAGAATAAAATTTTTGAAAAAGATGATTTTTTTTCTAAATTATAAAAAAAAAATTTCAAAATTTTATTTTAAAAAAATATATATTTCTAGAATGAGTAGGAAAAAGATTTCTAAAATTTCTATAATTAATAACTTTTGAGGTTAAACGTGATTTTTATATTGAAAATTATTATTCAACTCACTTTTATATAAATGTATTCAAATATAAATCAATTTACTTTTAACCGGAATCAATTCTTTTAAATGAATTCACTCGGACTTAATTCTCATAGTCACTAGAGAACCAAACACTCAATCAATCAAAATCAATTTTACTGAATGACTTCATTCAAAAATCAATTTTATTAAATCAATTCATTCAAAACTAATTCAAAACAAGTATGAGAAATAGGAATCAGTGATGAAATCGACCTGTTCTTAAATTTGATATGTTTAGAAAACAACTTAACAGAACTACACTGTTTCGTAACAGACCGAAACCCTTTCAAAAGGTGTATCGATTTCAAAGAGTAAGACACAACAAGAATAGAAGGACTACCAGCAACAATTTTCCCCTCCACAAGTTCACTTTCACAAAGAACCTTTCTCCAAGAATCACCAAACGAACCTTTCTAAGCTTTAGCATCAGGCTGCTACTACTACTACTAGGTAGGAGAAAATTTTTAAAAGATTTTGTTTTTAAAAGATTTTTTTTTGAAAATTAAAAAAGAAATAATTTTTTTTCAAAATTAATTTTTTTTTGAAAAAATAATATTTTTATTTAACAAATTAAAAATTTATAATTAAATTAAAACATTTGAATTTTAAATAATAATCAAATTATAATCAAATCTAAAAAAAATTAATCGATTAATAACCATTTAATTATATCTGAATAATTTAGATAGATATTCAAACCATTAATAATTAAATCAGTTAATAATTATTTAATTATATTCAAATATTTAATTATGGATTTGAGTCGCACAATCAAATATTTTACATACCCCTACCCTATGAGAATTAATTGTCCATTCATCTCAATTTTAACAGTTGCATTTATTGGGAAGACATGTCTTATGTTTGATGTAGTAGCTATATTATCAACAAACTTGATATACTAAATATATTAGTTCCAGAGGCATGCTATCTTAACATCGATTTTCTATCCCATATTTATAAATATATTATTCATCGTAATAGTGTTTTTTAAATAAGATAATATTATTTTCAAAAAAATATTTTTTTTTAAATTTTATTTTATAACATAAATATAAAGTTTTGTTATTAATTAACTTTTTAATTGAATTGACTATAAAATTATATATTATTAATTAATTATTTTATTTATAATTTATTAATCATTTTCACTACTTTATTAACCAATAAAATACATATTATTAACCATGTTCTGACACTAAATTATTAATATATTAACTAAATTTTAGACTCTATTAACCAACTTTACTTTATTATTTAATATTTTTTTTACCTTTAAAGATTCATTAATCAAATTATGATTATATTAACCAACTTTATATATAATATTAAACATAACCAAATTATGATTATATTAACCTCATTTATACATAATATTTATTATCTAGATATTATGTAATACTTATAGTACTAATAATTAAGAATCTTCCTTCCATCCATTACAACAGGTAATTAAGAACAACATCAACAGAAAATTTATTATCTAGATATATGGACATTACTTATTGGTGATTAAGATTCTTCCATTGTTTGGCAATGTTATGTTACGTTAATGACAAACGAAGCCGTTGGGAGTACTACGTCCACAAACATCAAACACTACCTTTAAGGGAATGTTAAGGTTTGTTCCCAAAACATTAGCCTTGATCGAAGTACAAAGACACAGTGCTGCATCAAGATTAACAAGATCAGCTATGAGGGAGCAACATGGTTTGGATTGTGAAAGGCCAACCTCAATGTTCACCAAATCTTGCAATAGAGCGGCGCAGAGATGCAGATCATTAGGACAATTCAGCGGTGGTGTCGGTAAGACAGTTGGTTCCTGAGAGGAGCTAACAGTGGTGAGGAAAAATATGTTGAGGAAGAGAACAAGAAAGGTAATGGTTGCAACAGCCTTTGAATTCATTTCGTAAAACTATGTATATGTGAATTATAAGTATTCAATTTCTCTTGTGTTTGATGAATGAAAATGGGGTAGCCCAAGGGCATAATTTATAGGCAAATTAAAATATAACTTTCGGTTAACCACTACCGGTTAGCCAATCGTGATCTTATCAAAGAAATTTTCAGCCTATCTGGTGAGTAAAATAACTCTGATAAGATAAGTAAAAGGAAAGTGAAAAGACCTTTGATAGTGAATAATTCCAGACAAATCATGTAAATAGAAGTAAATTTATTCAAGGGAATGGAATGAATAGTAGTAAATTTTAGTGTGGCATTGTGTTACATAAAAGGTGGTTATGGTATTTGGTACTACTTGACGGGGAGGGAAGCCTTGGTATGTTGGACCTGTACAGCAAAATTTACTACATTGACATGACACTGGGCTGTCCCGTTTAACTGCTATGACCGGACGAGCCACGTTGCAATTTAAGAAATTTATATAAAAAATAAGGGTTAATTAGATTTAAATATGTCCGATCTGCGGTTGCGGTTGTTAATTAATTTTATTTATTTTGTATCGAATTTTAACTATGTTAAAAAAAATTATTTAGTATATATGTGCTACAAATTTGTATTATAATAATTTATTATGAATTATAAACTAGAGAATGATTTGAATTAATCACAAATAAAAATGTATATTTTAATTAAAAGAAAAAAAGTTTATGTTTGTAAATTGAAAGTGATATATAAGATTTTACTTTGTAAATTTAAATAATTTTAAAAGATAATAATTTATATTTTATTTTGACTCTAATATATTTTTTAAAATTTATATTTTTTTAGATATTTAATTATAAGTTGTTTAAAATATGTAATTATTTTTAATCTTAAGTAAATATTAAACTTTATTTTCAATTATTACTGAATAAAACTTTCAATGGCTTTACTAATTTATGTCTATAACGAGTTTTAGTTATATATGAGAAATCAAGAATTTTATTGTTTGTCTTTAATTTATTTTTATGATATTTTAAGAAAAATGTAGAGATGAAATATATAGATTCGTTAAAGAATGTGGCATTCTCTACGATATTTCTAGGAAATTTAATAGTAATTTAACTCTGAAAAATTATGGAATATATGCTTTAACATTAAAAGTATTTTCTTAAGTGTTGTTTTTGTTGTATGATTTCTAAAATACAAAAAATATTTTAAAGTGTGTGGATCGAAACATCTTTTTTATTTTTGAAATTTTAAAGAATATATTTAGTTTGAGTAACTATTGTATTGTTATGATGTTTAGTTAAAATGATTCATAATTTTTATCCACGCAGGAAGATATATATAGAACTGGAGGTAGTGAATTTTTATCAGAAGCTGGTAGGATGCAGAAATATGAACCTAACTAGTATTGACATTCTAGCTTTAAGAAATGGTAGGACCATCAGTAGAGAGGAGGGTCTTGGTCTGATTCAACCTGTTACTGAGGGTGAGATTAAATCAGTTTTAAACGGTATGGGTAATAATAAAGCCCCGGGTGGGGATGGGTATAATGCTGCATTCTTTAAATCGGCCTGGCATATGATTGGTGGTGATGTCTGTAAAGCTATCAAGGAGTTTTTTGCAAAGACAGTCTTGTATAAACCGTTCAACTGCTCATTGGTGACCCTCATTCCAAAGAATTCTGATGCTAAGTCTGTTAGAGATTTGAGGCGTATATCTTGTTGTATTGTGATCTACAAAATCATCTCCAAGATTCTGGCTTGCAGATTGTGCAGGGTGTTAGATTCAATCATTGATGAATGTCAATCTGCATTCATCCCTGGCAGGAAAATACATGATAATATTATGTTGGCACAGGAACTAGTAAGAGGTTACAACAGAAAGAATATTTCCCCGCGGTGTATGATCCAAATGGACATTCAGAAGGCGTATGATACGGTGGACTGGATGGCTTTATTCCAGATTATGCGTGAGTTAGGATTTCCACAGAAGTTTGTTAACTGGATTATAATGTGTGTATCTACTGTTTCGTACAAATTCAGCATTAATGGTATACAGTCTGCTATATTGCCTGCTCAACGGGGGCTTCGTCAAGGGGACCCCATCTCTCCTCTATTATTCGTGATCATCATGGAATATTTGTACCGAGTGCTTCGCGGGCTGAAACAGAATTATAACTTCAATTTCCACCCTAAGTGTGGCAAAATGCGCATAATCAATATTTGTTTTGCAGACGACATCCTTCTGTTTGCAAGGGGTGATGTGGAGTCCATAAAGATTGTGATGCAAGCTGTCAAAGCGTTCTCAAATGCTACAGGATTGTATATCAGTGAGCAGAAGAGCAAAGTATTCTTTGGAGGCTTGGCTGAGATGGCTAAACAGGAGATTCAGCATGCTACCGGTTTTGAGAGAGGAAAACTTCCTTTCAAATACTTGGGTGTGCCCCTGGACAGTAAGAAGTTAACTATTCTTAATTGTATTCCGCTTATTGATAGAATGATGTATCGTATTAATCATTGGAGCTCTAACCTGTTATCTTATGTTGGTAGATTCCTCCTTGTCAAAAGCGTATTGTTTTCTATTGCTAACTATTGGATGCAGATTTTCCCTCTACCTAAGAAAATCATTCAGCACATTGAGGGATTATGCAGGAAATTCCTTTGGTCCGGTAGAGTAGGTAGCAGTAGAAAAGCCCATGTTTCTTGGGACCAAATCTGTATACCTAAGGTGGAGGGAGGCCTTAACATGATAGCACTTTATGAATGGAACAAAGCCTCGATGGGTAAATTGCTTTGGGACTTGAATGCTAAGAAAGATAGAATGTGGATAACGTGGATTCACCATTTTTATATGAAAGGTATGGATTGTATTGATTATCTCCCTCCTACATATGCCTCTTGGATTGTGAAAGCGATATTCAAACACAAGGAGGAAATGATGAACTCGACGGTTTGGGACGAGTTCCGTAGTAGGGGTTGTTATTGTACAAGAGATATGTACAAGTTTCTTAGGGGGGAGAAACCCAAAGTTAGATGGAAAAAGGTTCTCTAGGGTAATTGGGCTCGTCCTAGGGCCACTTTTATCACTTGGATGGCATTCCTAGGTAGACTGCCTACTAAGGATAGGTTGCGCAGGTTTGGTATCCAAAATGATGGTTTGTGTGTGTTTTGCAGAATGAATGAGAATATTCAACATGTCCTCTTAGAATGTGACTTTGCGATAAACATTTGGAACCAAGTATTAAAGAGGGATGAGTTGTACCGTTGGGCTACCAATTGGGTGATGGGTATGGATTGGATCATTAACAATACTAAAGGCAAAGGTATGAAGTGTAGAAAAGCTAAAGTGATTGTTGCGGAAACCATCTATAGTATTTGGACTACCCGGAATATGATTATCTTCTAGAATCATACTAAAGATTTTTTCCAATTGAGGGAGTTAAAGTATAGAATAGAAATGTGTATGGGGAAAATTAATGCTAGTCCTTGATTGTTGTTTGATTATAGTTGTCTAGGCTTTTAGCCTTTGTTGGGTGTTGTTGCCTTGGGCCTGGATCTTTGGATAGGCTTTGTATTAACTGTTTTTGGATTAATATATTTCCGTTTCTCCAAAAAAAAATGATTCATAATTTTTTTCTTTCAAATATTAATTAAAATAAAGATTAATTATTATAAAGGGTGGAACCCCAGACTATTTATCAATAGGCAAGAAAACAATATATGTATTCTATCATATTTAAATTTTTACAGTGTGATTTTAAAATTAGATATTAAATCTAATATCGTCTTTAAATGATAATATTATTTATTATAAAATATATGATGAGGAAGTACTGTCTCATTTATCTTTTTAAATGGAAAATTCTAAAATTATTTTAGAAAAACTAAGTAATAAATCTATCAAAATATATTTTCTTCCATTTTTTATGATTAAGAAATTATGGTTATCTGAAAAATATAGAGATGAAATATATAGACTCGGTGAGAGTATGATATTTTCTAATATAATTCTAGATCAATTAAGAATAATTTAATTATGAAAAATTGTGGAATATATACTTTAATATTAAAAGTATTTTTTAAAGCTTTTGTTGCTATGATTTCAAGAAAACAAAAATCATTTTAAAGTGTCAAGATTCCAGCATCTCTTTTATTTTTAAAATTTTAAAAAATATATTTAGTTGAAGTAATTATTGTGTAGTTAGGATATTTAATTAAAAATGATCAAGAATATTTTTATTTTAAATATTATTTAAAATAAGGATGAATTATTGTAAAGGATTGAACCCCAAACTATTTATCAATATGCAAGAAAAGAATATATGAGATTTTTGTGATATGGTTTTAAAATTAACGTTAAATTCAATACCGTTTTTAAATGATGGAATTATTTATTTAAAATATATAATGAATAAGTATCATACTAGTACAAAAATAACTTTTTAGCTGAGATTTTTAAGACAATTCACCTCCCACTTGACTTAAAAAGCCATGCGGTGGCAATTTCGTAAATATTTGTAAGTTAATTAGGTCGGGTGCATTTAAAACCGACCTAACAAAGATTAAATAAAAAAATATAATACACATTAAATATCTTAAGTCGTTAGTGTTAACTAAATGACTTAAGAAGTCTAATTATTAAATTAGGTGTCGCCCAACTGACCTAAGAAGTATTATTTAATTTATAACATGTCACCGGTTCGATTCCCACTTATCACATTTTAGTGAAACAAAACATTAATATTAAAGTTGATTTAAGGATTCGAACATGAGAACTCGGACTCTCAAAATATTGTGGAATATATATTATATAATTCTGTAATTGTCTATTATTTGTACCCAACAAAGTCGTTTTTCATCTACCGCTTCACATTTAGCTTATTCACTATACCATTTCCAAAAAAAAAATCAATTAATCAATCGAAAATGTATTGCCTAACATTTGGTCTTTATGAGTGAAGTATTACTAATGCGACTCACTTTCGTTTAGGTTTCTTCACCCTTTCTACCGTTTCCA